TAAGCATCTGTATATTTTTAAAGTTTTTATGAATATAAATATTATGAATTATCTTTATTTTTCTTCCTCAAATTAACAAAATACTTCTCTTTTAGGTTTGAAATTGACTTTAAGTCTTGGGAAAGCCAATTATCAGGACTACAAGGTTTTAATGACCTAATTATAAGAAGTTTGGAAGTCACTATTGCTCACATTATTCCAGTGGCTGAAAGTCTTTTGAAATCTATATTATAATTTTCTTGTCCTTTTTCTTAACACAATGCTTACCACAGTTTCAAAAAAACACTGGAATTGAAGGATGGAACAAAAAGAGAACAAATTGTGGTAGAGTTATCTCTGAATTTTATTTCAACAGCAAAATTTACTTCAGATATCCTGGTGAATTTCACTTACATTTCCCAGGCAAGCACATTTTCATGTGGCCATTTCTAAGTAGTTACATGGAAAAAAAAATACTTAACTTTTGATGGAGAGAAAGAGAGAGAGAGAGAGGGAGGGAGGGAGGGAAACAAGGTGGAGGGAAGATGGGACAATGTGTGTGGAGTAAGCCGGGCAATGCTGTATGTCATATAATACGCAATAATTTCTGAATAATAATATACTCTGTGCTTGGTAATAATTAAAATAATACTAGTCATTCATACCCTTATCTTCTGACATATTTGTTTTGTCAAGAATCCAACTTTGCATTCTCATGATGAATCTCTGTTGATTAAAAAGCAATATTCCTTCTTTTAGATAGTACATTTAAACCGAAGCATACTCTCAAACTAGGAGTTACTATTTTCCACCATACTTACATAAACTTAATATGCAAATCTAACTATATTCTGACACTCATCAAAAAACCCCCCCAAAAAAACAAAAAACAAAAAAACAAACCAAAAACTAAAGATAAGCAGGTCATTCAGATTTCTGAAGGCAACAGTTTACTCAAGAGGGGAAAATATTCAAAGTAATTGTGAATAAACTGAAAGCAGAAGCACATATCATATAACCATTTCATCCATTTTTTTCCTTTTTATAGACTAATATTTCTTATGATCATTCTTAGTTTTTTGTTTTTTTTTAAATTAGGGATGCTGGTTTTGAATATTTCCCAAAACGGATTTCAAGGGAGAATTTATTTTGTCTACAGTATTCCCAAGGAGGCCTGTGGTTAAAGATGTGCTCCTTCTCAAGACTGGCCGCCAAAGACCAGATGAACAAAGGAGGCCGCTGATTGGCTCCCAGGACTGCGGTCCCCTTTATGTGGCTCTGACAGACCGTCCATCACTAGAGCCAAGAGCGATTAACCCGCCTCTCGGTGGCTCCACCCCCAGAGCAAATGGGGGCCTACTGTGTTATAAATCAGGCTGGGTTTTGAATTCAGTATTCTGAAAGAAAATCCTGAAGAACATATTTTTACTACGCGGAGAGTTGACATATTTATTAAAGCAGCCAAACAAGTACCGAGTTAATACTGAAAAAAGGAGAAGCAAAGAAAACGTGAGAGTCAATTAAACCTTAGAGTTTTGCTGCCCAGTTCTTTTTCTTTCTTGCATCTAGTTTACCCAGAGCCAAGTAAATGGGTGCTATTTGCCATTTGGCCAGTTCCTTTCATAAAGACAGTTTGCTGATTCTGATAGCTTGTTTTCTTTTGTTTTTTTTTTTTTTAATGTAATTTAGAAGACTTCATTTAAATTTTCTTTCAGTAATTTTGACCTCTGTAGAAAGGTGGAGACAGAGGAAATGGAATAAAATTGGGATCATTTATTTTAAAAGTATCTGCTTAACATTCATTCTGTAAGTAGCCACTAACTACTTGTGTTAGGGACTTTTCTAGATATTGGGAACATATTGGTGAAAAATACAGCATTCTTTTCTGAATAAGCTTTCAAATTGGTACTGAAAGCTCAGGGGTTAGATTTGGAAGCTGGTTAAAAATGTTAAAATTTCAGTTAAAATCATACACTTGCACAGTATCTTAATTTTGAAAAATGAAATATATACACATACAATACCTTTTTGAAAAATCAGAAATAGTGCTTTTCTTTCTCTTTTGCTTAACTATAGTTTTATTTCACGCTTTTCACAGTGACCAGGCCAGCGTGAATGCATATGGACTCTTATAATAATGATTGTTGAACATAAACTTTTTCTATTTTGTTTGAAATTGGAATTTCATAAGCTGAACTATTCCTATTCTCCATTATGGTAAGAAGTAGAGGCCTCAAAAGCACCTATGGACTGTAATTTCAAAGAAGATAACTGTAACTGGTTGCTACAATGTACTTTTCACTGCCACCTTTACTTGGATGTTACAGACCCTGGAAGGTGAGCCAGCCCAGAAGAGGACGGTGAGTCCAAGCTGAGTAATGACCAGGTGAGGAGACACAGTGGAGTGGCGAGAGAGCACCCACCTGGTCTGTGCTTCCCGGGTGACACTAGCATTTCAACACTGAGCCTCAGTTTCCTCTTTTGTTACTTTCCTGAGGGACTGAGAACATCCAGAAGGTAATCCTGTGCCAAGAGCAAGGGATCGGCTCTCCATCAGACATCAAGATGAGCTTTTTTTCACTTACCAGTGTAAGGCTGATTTGACTTCATTTAAACCTTGAAACCGTGAGAACTGGGGTAGTTTCATAAGTGGTGACATAAATTCACAAGTACTAGGTGAGCAGAGACTTCCATCTGCTTGAAGATGTTGTAGCTGTGAGTTTGATCTGCTAGGCTTTTGGGTAGCATCTCTGAAAACCCATTTACACTTTCAAATTTTAGATACCCTTCCTTTATCCAAGGCCCGTGGAAAAGGTTTTAAACTTAATCCAACATGTATTTGGGAGTTATAGATTATTGGTCATTGACTGTGTTAGATTCTAAATATTAAAAGGGGCACAAAAATGTACTTTTTCACGTCTTTGAACTGGGAGAGAGGAAATATTCTCAATACAACAGAAAACTTTTAAACTCTGTCCTTAGAATAGATTAATTTATTAGTATTTCAGTACATGGTGTCTCCTGCATTATAAATCTAGATACTTAAATTTTGAAACGCAAGGCTTTAACTTATTATTAAGAAAGAAAATTGTAGCAAATTAAAGGAAATTACTCAAGTAAATTTATAGGAAGTTAGATCACTGACAATTTCTGTAGGCGGTCACAAGTCTTTTTTAAGAAACATATAAAATACAAAGCTCTATTTGAGTATCGTAAGTGTACATATGTAAGTATGTGTATATTATGTATCATATACATGTGTGTTTAATTTACAACCTCCAATACCTAGAAGGAGACACTGCTGTGCTTGCCTTCCTACAAGAAGTCTGGGTGGGCACCCCTGATGTTTACAAGATGTAAAGTTGAACATTCTAGGTACTTACACGGAGAGGGAATATAACATGAAAAATAATTTCTCTTCTATTTTGTGTAAGGGGTTCACCACGGGTTATTTTAAGATTCTATGAGTGCCATGGAAATCCCTAAAAGAGGGTGTAAGGTGTTAAACAAAGGGTGACACCAACCACAAGGGGGAAAAAAGAAATCATAGGAGGTGAAAATACAGTTCCTGGCTCCAAAGCTCCCAAAAGTTCCGAGGCAGGAAGCCTCCTCCGCGGGGCGGGGATGTCTCGGCTCTCGGGACCACTCCCTGCTAAGTTTGCCTTGAGTTTTCCCCGCCCCTCCTCCCTGCCTCGCCTCGGACCCCAAACCTGGGGAGCCGCAGGCGAGACCCGTCAGAAGCAGTGGCCTACGCGTGTTTCCTTTCACTGCCACCCACCCACCATAGGCCGCCTTTGCAGCCCAGCCCAGGGGATTTCCGAGGATGCCTGGAAGCTCTTCTTACAAACTGGGGGCCAAGCCTATAAAAGAACAATAGTAA